CATTTTTAAATTAATGGTATTTAATTTTGTGTGAACCTACCTATAGTATATTCACTGTAACATTTGTTTATTAAGTATTATTTATTGCAATTGTATATGATAATAAAATTGCCTTTTTCAAGCGAAGTAAATTTTTTCTTAAACTTTAGGCCATTTTTTGTAATCAGCGGCTATTTTTTCATAAAATATTTTCTGAATTATGGATTTTCAACGTATAAAGCGAGAATTTTACAATATTCAGCACATGAGGAATATGTAAAGGCAATTTCATTTAGAATTATTTTGTTACGGTATAAAACAAATTGTACCAAAAAGCTTTTTTGTCGTTTTCACTGGTAACCCTTTTATCATGTTATCATGCAGGTGGTTCTACCAGTTGTTCAAGAGTATATGAGAAAGCAGCTTTTGATGTGAAAGCGTTTTCAATATTACTGTAGAATTCTCTTCTTTTATTTTGAAAATAATAATTTTTTGAAAAAATGACTGCAGGTTTTTTTCATAAATTCTATTTTATATTCAATTGAAATTTCGTAACTTTTTAATCTAATCCAGTTAATTGCTTTAAACTTTTATTTATTTTATTTTTAGGTGTCAATTGTTTCCCTTTTATTATATTTTGATAAATAAAAAAAAAAAAAAACAACGCCACAAAAATAAAAACCATATTTATACTCAAAACACTAAACGATTATTTTGTTTTAATTCTTTTTTAGTGCTTTGTTTTAGATGTTTGATGTTTCTTAATAATGATTAAAACAAAAGTTAATCCCGATAAGGCGTTACACGCTGTTATATACGAGTACCAATCTCACCACAGTGCTTTGTTGGAAGGTCTAAATTCCCTCAGGGAACAAGGTCAGCTCTTGGATATAATTCTTGAAGTTGAAGAGCAATTTTTTAGTGCCCATAAAGCCGTCCTGGCTGCATGTAGTGATTACTTTCGAGCAATGTTCACTGAGCCTATGATCGAATCTCGACAGAAGCAAATTCGTCTGAACGGACTCACGGCTAAAGGGATTCGTTATTTAATTGATTACGCTTATACATCCCGTCTTGCCTTGAACCAGGAAAATGTCCAGGATGTCCTAGCTGCCGCAACGCATTGCCAAATGTTAACTGTTGTCCAGGCTTGTTCCAGTTATCTGCAATCTAAGATCGATGTGGATAATTGCGTGGACATCGCAACAATTGCGGAGAATTATTCTTTGTCTCAACTAAAGACGAAAGTATATACTTATATGAGTGAAAATTTATTGGAATTTTCGAATTCTTGCGCCTTTTATCGCCTATCGCCTCAACAACTTGAAACATTACTTGCCTACGAGTTTCCAGTTGATTGTACCGAAGCTGATGTTTTGAATATCATTCTTTGTTGGTTCTTTCATTCTGATAATTCTGAGTAAGTGAATGTATATGTGTTGTGGTGTATTCTTCTGAAACAATTAATTATAAACGTTCCCTGTTAAATTGTCATCAATTGTATAGTATTGTTTAATGATGTGTGTAATATTAGTTACATATTTTATTCAATTTACACAAGCTTTTTTTGTTATTGGAAATCGAAATTATGTTTTCTGTTATTTTTTTAGATTAGAACTTCGATTTGGTTATGCATTAAGGATTCTGCGAAAAATTCACTTCAGCGAGATTCCATCTAAGAAATTAGAAGAAATTTTGGAAAAGGTTTTTTCAAGTGGAGAGTGCGAGCGTTCGATGTACAAATTAGTATTGTCTGAAGCCTATCGTCAGAAAGCAATAAATCGTTTTGGCTCTTCTCACAATCTTCTAAACTCACGCGGAATGGAACTAGCGTTACTTAAGATTGGTGGTTTTGGAATGAATGGTATCACTAACGAAATTACGTACTGTCTTTCCAGTGACCGCAAATGGAGACACCTGACATCGATCCCCCATGTTGAACAGTGTAACTTTGGAACTGCCGTTTTCAATAACGAATTGTACGTTGTTGGTGGCTGCTTTAATCAATCTTTACAAGAAGATATTCATCCTTTTGGTTTCAAATACAGCCCTAGATATAACAAATGGACAACGATGGCTCCTATGCAAATAGAACGGTGTAGGTTCTCTTTAAATGTGGTGGGAAATAAGCTCTATGCAGTTGGTGGTGTAAGTGAATTAGAAGACATTACAAATGAGATGAGCGCTTGCGAATGTTACGATCCTCATTCGGATAGCTGGCACAATATTCCTTCATTGCCTGAGCATAAAACACAACATGCTGGAGCCACGTATGAAAAGGAAGATCTTCTTTTTGTTAGTGGTGGTATGGACAGAGATATAGTTGTTTCTACGATGTATTGCTACAACTCCATTACAAGCACTTGGAGAACATGTAGTCCTATGCTAACTCCAAGAGCTGACCATGCAATGTTATGTTTAAAACATAAACTCTATGTTTGTGGTGGTTGGATGGAGGAATCTGATACAAGAGCTAGAATACTAATAGATTCTATTGACGCTTACAATATACTCGAGGATAGTTGGGAAGTTGTGACGAGAATCCCGACGCCAAGATATCACGCGGGTATTGTTATAGTTGATAACAAAATTTATTTTATTGGTGGATTTAGTAATGACGATATATTCGACAGACGTGACATTTCAAATATAGATTGCTATGATGTCGAAAAAAATGTATGGACAACTGAAAGCAAATATCCTCAAGTTGTTTGGGAACACACCTGTGCCACACTCTATGTACCTAAATACAGAGACGACCTCGAGGTACTTGACTTTACTAGCTCGAGGTCATGATTGTTGAAATTATATATTATATAAAGCTCCATATTTTCCCAGTGTTAAATTTTTATAACTTATAAATAAATTATGTTTTTCATTTTGATTTTTAATTGAAAAACTGGCTTAATTTTATATAAAATCGTGGATACGTTAACTGAAACTATAGTCATTTGTTATATATTTAGTACAAGCAAAATTAGTGCATTCATGAGAAGTTAATAATTAAATGAATCCCCTGACTACAAATATACAGAAAATTTGAATGCGTCAATATTGTCTGGATTGACATGGATTTTATGTTTTATGGAGTAAAGGTAAAAAGAGCATTACTTTTTAAATACATAAATTTGGTTCCAAATGCAGCGGGAGTAATAGAGAAGTAAAAAAACATGTCGGAATAAACAAGCACTTATTTACAAAAATTTGAAATTATATATATATAAAAAATTATGAACGCTGTTAGCACAGGGCAAAGTAGTATTACGTAAATGAAAGTTAGTATTCTGAGGTGTACGATGTGTTGCATACCTATTTCAATTCAACTTTTAATCGTTGATTACTATACATCTACAGATCTATTATAAAACTATAATGGCCGACATCAGTAACAATGCGACAACAATTGAAAAAGAATGATGGCCGACAACAGCAACAATTAGAAAAGAATGATGGCCGACACTACGTCATACTATTGTTCACAAAAGTAAATTTCGATCACTCGAAGCAATGGTGTTAACAGTTTTGAGCTCACAGTGATTGATAGGAGGGGAAGAACTAGTTATGTTAAAAACTATTAATTAAAACCATGACCAGTATATATATTTCTTAATCTATGACCATGACCATCACGTATCTATGAACTATCATATACAATGGTCCTCCGTTAAGGTTATGTTGTCAAGTGTCAGTGGCGAAAACGGTTTGTTTGTTGTTATAAAGTTGAAGTTTTTTATTTTACAGTTAATTTCAAAAAATGCTTGATAATATTACAAATATTGAATAACAATGTCGTACCAAGGTTCACCTTATTATTCCAGTGCTGCTCAGGAAGACTATGAATTTGATGATGAAAGATATGATGACGAAGATGATAGGGAAAACGATGAACCTCAGGATGAAAGCGATGAAGATACTGAAGAAGCAAGTGAGACTGAGCTCAGTCGTCATGAAGAGCCATATGAAATTAAAGAGCAGATGTATCAAGATAAGCTAGCTATGTTAAAGAAAAAGTTACAACAACTTAAAGATGGTACACATCATGAGTATAATAAGAGAGTAAGAAAACTGGAATATCAATATAAAGAACGGCTTCGGTTGAATGTTATATTCAGGGACTATATGATAGAGTGTGTAGAACGTGATTATGTCAAAGAGAGAAATGCTGCAGATAAAGAATTTGAAGAAAAAAAAATTGACTTAAAAGAAAATCTGTTATCTGATTTTGAAGATAAAAGAAAAACTATAGAAGCTGAGAGGTATTCTTTGGAACTTACAGGAGATTCGATGGAAGTTAAAACTGTGTTAACACGAAAACTTAGGAGAAGGCCCAATGACCCTGTTCCAGTTCCTGAAAAAAGAAGAAAACCACCAGTAGCTCAGATAACTCATTTACTAGATGAAAAGGAAATAGAAAATGATCTTAAAGTTATTAATAGAGGTATGATTAATATTTATTTATTTCTGGAAAAAGATTAAAAGAATGTACATTAATCTGAGATAATTAGTTTTTATTCTTTTAGTTGCATGAATAAGAAAAATTTATGTTATGTTTAGGAGAAATTCCATCTACTTCAAATGGCATGCAAAACCAAAACTTGGCAATATCTTCAAATGGTAATGATGTACCTCTTGTTGAAGCAAAAATTGCAGATGGAAAATTACTTTATGAAAGGAGGTGGTTTCACAGAGGACAATCTGTTTATATTGAAGGCAGAGACATGGCCAAGTTTCCTGCTCGTATCTCTGCTATTGGACATGAATCTGTAAGTTTTTAATTTTTGTTATTAATAATCTATGGTTAAATACTTAAAACTGAGGCCTAAATTCTCTAAAAATCCTCAAATCTTTTTTATAGATTTGGGTCAAAAAGGCTGACAATTCAAGAATAAGGATTTATGTAGCAAGTTTAGCACGGGGAAGGTTCTCTATCAAAAGAAGAGCTTCCTAAACGCGTCTCATTGTATATCACAAATATTTAAGTAACTGTATATATTTAAGTACAAAAGTTTTATTTTGTTACCTTAATTCACAATAAATGTTTGCTATGAAGGAGGAAGTGTTTTGTTTTTTTCTTTTAGTTCAAGTAAATAATTATACTAGTAACTCATCATTTTCCTAATTTAATTTTTTTACCATAAAATCTTTTTAATTCTTTTGCAATACATTTTCAATAAGAAAAGATACACGTCTATCGCAGTTTGTAAACATACAATTTGTATTACCATTTAATTTATTATCTGTTCTTTTCCAAGTTTCACCTTTTGAAATAAGTTGCAGAATGTTACTCTGTACATTTTGATTTTCTCTATCATTCTGGGTATTTGTATTTATGTCAACTTCTGGCTCATTGTTACTAGAATGTTCAGGAACATTACTCTCCAGATTATTTATTAAAACATTATCAGTTTCTCTAATAGGGTTTTCAACATCATGCTGTATTTGGTTACTTCTATTTTCGTTATTTTCCTGTTGATCAATTGAAGGGCGTAATTCTTCGCTTGGTATTCTTACCACACATTCCCTTTGCCACCAATAATACCAAACTCGACTGTGATATTTAATAGCCATATGAGCCCACAAGTAGAATCCAATCAACATAATCACTACCATAATCAATAAAGAAATAGAAGTCCACTTTGCTGCTGGTATATGTGCAAAACGCTGCTGGTTATAATAATCAGCACTAAATAAGCAGATATATGTAATGGCAATAGCAAGGGGAGTAAGCAGTGCACATGCAACAAGATCACTTCGAACACCTCTCACATTAAAATTAAAATTGGGAGTTTCTTTCCTGATCCATCTCCAAATAGCTTTTTTGACCCCATATTTTGGAGTTCGTTGTGTTCTATAAATGTGGTGACAAAGCTCACATGTTGTAGTATTTGACTCAGCCAACCATGTCTCAAGACAACTGCGGTGTACAAAAGCAACTGTACCCTAAATAATTATTCTAGTAAATCAACTTAATATGTTCATACTGGATTAATCAGTTCTCAAAATTTACCTTGCAGCAACATGGGGAAACTATTGGTTCATCTTTTTCACTGTCATAGCAAATTCGGCAAATTATTGTAATAACTGAAGATTTATCGTCTCTATTCTCAGGATTGTCTGTTTGACAACAAACTGCCAAGCACTCAGTATTATTTACATTATCAGAATTCATGCCAGTTTATATAATGTAACATGATATGTATAATTTTGTGTGTACATTAATCTGTTCACATTTTCAGTATGTATTAAATTAAAAATAATAATGCATATGATAAAGTTCACAAAAATGTTCCAGTTATTCTATTATTGCACTATTTTCTGCTTTTACTTTTAAACTTTTCCAATTCAAAAATACGGAACAGAGGGCGACAAAAACGCATTACGTCATAGTTACATAATTTTCAAGGTTATTAATGTTTTCAAAAGAGGTTATAGCATGACAGTTGTGTAGTAAATATTTACAATTTGTTTTCATAATATAAACTTAAAAAAAAATGGAAAAACATTCGCAGTTGACACCAAGAAGGAAAATTGTCAACCCTGTGTTTCATTTACAGACGAAACAGGAAGATGACAAATATATAACAAATGGAATTGTAAAAATTGTTCGAAGAACTGGCCAATTAAATTTGGCAAATAGGGGCTTGGCACATTGTAATAGGTCTTTTGGATTGTGTTAAAACAACTGTATTACAATTTTTGTTTGTAGTACCAGAGAAGATATTTACAATGTATAACATTGAGAAGAATACAACAGTAGATTACAGCATTAATGATGTCTCTGAGGATAATCAGTGGTGGACATTCACACCATTGAACTATTTAGATTTAAGTTATAATACTATTTCAGAATTACCAAAACAGATAAGCAATTTTGAAGATCTTTCAGTATTAAATGTAAGTAAGTACAAAGTTTGGTTTCAATAGTCTGATTCAATTTATTTAGCTGCAAGACAATTGCTTGACCAGTTTACCAACAGAAATAGGAGTTTTAAAAAAACTCACAAAGTTAAATTTAAGTCATAATAAGCTGCAAAGGCTTCCAAAGGACTTTTATAAATTAACAGAGTTGCAATTTTTAACTGTTTCAAATAACGAACTTCAAAATGTTGATAAAGATATTAGTAATCTAGTAATGCTACAAGTTTTAGTAAGTTCATATCAAATAATTGGTTTTTCTTCTTTTATAAAGTGTATATATATATATTGTAGGATTTATCTAATAATTTATTAACATCTTTACCCTCTGGTATTGGTTTTATGGTTCGATTAACTGAAGTAAACTTTTCTAATAATAAACTAACAGAAATACCACCAGATATAGTTAATATGAGAGGTATTACATATTTTTGTAATTAAATATGCATGAATAATATAATAATTGGAAGGAAGTTTGTGAATATTAATGGATTTGAACATTGCAAAGTACATCTCGAAAATTAATTATAATTATTTTCTATTTTAGCTCTTGTAAAATTAGATATAACGCACAACAATTTAAAGTTTCTTCCAAATTTTGGGGAAATGCGAAAACTTCAATTTTTATATGCACAACATAATGATATAGAAGAATTACCAAATTTTGACGGTTGTGAAAGCATCAAAGAAATATATTTTGGTAATAATTATATTAAGGTTTGTATGTTCTTTTTGTTATTCTAACATTTTTTAATTTTTAAGTAATTTTAGGAAATAATCCCAGAATTTTGTGAAACCTTACCACATTTGGCAGTTCTTGATTTAAGGGATAATAAAATTGAAAAACTTCCTGACGAAATTGCAATGCTTCACCATTTAATTCGTTTAGACCTAACTAATAACGATTTAATAGCGTAATTTTTACTACATCTACTTTTTGAATGGATTTTAATATTTGTAATATTATTTGTTGACTATTTTTAGTTTACCTAATACTTTGGGTCTTTTAACACATCTACAGAATATACAGATTGAAGGAAATAAATTGAAGCAAATTAGAAGTGATATTATAAAGGGGGGAACTTTTAGAATTTTGAAACATCTGAGAGAAAAAATGGATGAAGAGAACTCTCCTAGATGTAAAGCAGAGGTTTTTGTTGAAAAAATTCCGATTTATACATTTCCTGATAGGTACTTTTTAATTATCTAATGTCATAGTAACTTTAAATAATTTATTGTAAGGTATGCTATGAGGAACAGTAGAATGTTAAATGTCTCGGTTCAAAATTTAGTAGCAGTTCCTGAAAGTATCTTTCTGGATGCTAAGAAGGCGGAAGTTACAGTTGTCGACCTATCAGTAAATAAACTTAGTACAATCCCTGAGGGGTATGTAATCAATGGTTCAAATTTACAAAATCTTCAAATAATAGTTTTTTAGGCTACAGATAATCGCCAATAACATTACTGAATTGAAACTAAGCAAAAACCAGCTTAGTTGTTTGCCTGACTTTTTATCAAGTTGTAGAAGACTTCAATATCTTGATCTTGGTAATAATTTATTTGAAGATTTACCCAACGCTTTAAGGACATTGAGAGAATTGAAAGAATTGGTTATTTCTAATAACAGGTAGGTAAATAAAGGTATAGTATTTTCGTGAATAAAACCTAAACGTAATTAAAGCTTTTTGGATTAAAATGAAAGCGACTACTTGTTGCCTTTTTTTGTGTAACTGAAAAAGCCTGATATAGATTTTCTAAATTGTGAACCAAAGAAAACGACAGTTTTTCACATTATCAATTTGTTCACGTTAAGGAATATTCATTATGTAATAAAATAAACATACATAATTAACAAAATAAGCATATCTACAAATATGAAATTCTATTATGTAGGTACATACTCACTAGAAGACAGCAATAACTACTTAAAGAAGTAATGAAATATATTTTTTTGCCAATGAAAACAGAAATTTTTGTTTTTTCTGAGGATGTTTTTTAAAAACGAACTATGTACTAAAGTGAATACGCGAATAAAACATCTTTTTGTTCAGCTAATACGACTGGGGAAATACCAAATATTTTGGAGACATTCGTTTCGGCTTGTGCCGGTGTACTTGACCTAACATAATTAATATGTCATTCACATTATGCGTGGTTTCCTTTATGCGATGTTTATACTACAGAGTGTTATTGTATTAATCAATTTATTTTTTCCTTTTCTGGTATATTAGATTTAACTAATAATTAAAAATTTAACATATGAACATATCCAAAATAATTAGTATATATTTCTGCGTATTTGAGTTCCCTTTATAAGTTTTTAATTTACTAACTAAACCGTCCATTTTTATCCTAAAATTTGTACGTTTTCGCATATCGAGTAGTACTTTACCTATAAGTAGTTCAAATAATAAACAAATTTCGTTCTGTTTTGCAGATTTTCCAAATTGCCGGATTGTGTTTATGATATGGAAAATTTAGAGATACTTTTGGCAGACAGTAACAGTATTACAGAAATAAACGTGGAAGGTCTTGGCAAGCTGAAACGGCTCGCAACATTGAATTTGTCGAACAACAGTATCAATTACGTTCCCCCGGAACTTGGAAATTTAAAACAACTTCGGTAATTTTACATTTATCGACTTGAAATCTTTTTGTTTTTTGAGGTCTACTGTATGTATTCTTTGTTGCTTTGTTTTAAAGGAGTTTGGAGTTGAAAGGGAATAGCTTTCGGATACCTAGATATGCTATTCTGGAACAAGGAACAGAGACCATTCTTTCTTATCTAAGAGATAGGATACCGAGTAATTAGATAATGCACAATGTAAAGTACTTTGCCATAAAACATAGAAAGTATCGCTAGTCTTCATATAATGCCATAATATGACATATTTTTTTCAAGAAATTAAATAAATATTTGTCTCACATGCAGATTTAAGAAAGTTTGTGCACTGTATTTAGTATTATTGGTTAAAGTGCTTCAAATTGAAGAAATTATAAAAAGTAAGATACAGTTACAATTTTGTTTTTAAGAAAACTCATAGAAATTGAATGCTTGAAGCATTCGTAGATTTAAAAAAAAGTAGATTAAAGATATACAAACATTAAATATTATTTTCAGCTAATTATTAAAGATTAATTAAAAAAGATTATAGGTTTAGTTGAATTGATTTATGTTCCTTTGTTAGTACCTGCACTATATTGACATTGATATTGTATCAAATAGCTATTGATTTCTGTTTGCTTTATGTATATTGCATTGCTTAGAATTTGACACGTGTAATACATTATTTTGTACCTGAAAATTACCAGAAGGGTAGTAACTGTTTGGGTTAGTGATTTTTTGTTGTGTTTTTTATATTTTATTCCACCTGTACCAATAAATTTGTTAAAAACACTGTTTTGCTCATTATAAGTGTCTGATCTGTATAATATTTGTATTTAATAAATAAAGGAGCTTTTCAGACATCTTCATCTTTTGTAATAAATTTACCAGCTTGCACTCGTTTTATTTAACAGATAAAAAGTAATATAAAAAAAAAGAGAACTCTCATGATATTATTGAGAGGGTTTGAATAGTACATATTTATTTGTGGTATAATTTAGTAACAACAAATATTAAGATAACGCATACTGCCCGTGGTCGAAATTCAACCAGTTGTCACTTATTGTAGTCAACGTAAATAAATAGAAGATGGTATTGCACCAGCTTAGAATCGAACCCGGACCGCTTCGTGAGACGCGAGTAATAGTTTTACTCGAAACATTTCTGTTATATAGACAGGGTCACAAAAACTTTTTGTATGTTTTTCAATTTCTCTAACGTGAAGACATTGATATTACTTACGGCCATATAGACACAATACTCACGAAATGCTTGTATGTAACGGCTCGAACTTTTTCACGCGAAAACTTCACCTGTATTACACATTATGACGTTGGTCTTAGTCACGAATTCACGCATTTGTGAGCTTCAGAGAGATGTGAAAAATGGTTTTTTAAAAGTATTTAAGTACAAAATGCAAATGTTTTTTTGATTCCTTATTTCAAATATAAAATACAAAATAGATTTCCCTTTTGTATGTTAAATGCTAAATGCAAAGTACGTATTTTCAAAATACTTTTTTACTACTTAACTTTCTACATTCACTTAAGTATAAAATATTTTTTAAGAAAACCTTGCAGGCATATTCTCATTTTTTTTAATATTGGAATTTTTCTAGACTAGTACTTAGTGGTGTTTGCATTATATCACCAGCTACGAAGATTGAGTGTGATTCTACTTTTCTGTTTGAAGTGATTGAGATATAGTTTTTCTATATTTATGTTATAGGTTCTTCAGTTTATCAACAAATAATTCTTCTATATGCTTCCTTATTTGCCTTTGTCAACCGTTTTAAGNCCAAAATAGGGTTGCAAATAATTTTATTGATTTAAAATCAACATAAATAATTTTGAAATCAAAATATTTACAAACCCATTTTGTTTCCGATCTTTTACACATTGTAATAGGAGAAAGTGAAGTTTTTCGAATCGTTTTCTAAGAATTTTAGATTATATGCATTTTTTGCGGGCTTTTTTGTCGTAATTCATAGAATTTCCTAGTTTCTTGCTAAAGGTACGCTAAGTGGTGATTTGAAGGTGCTGATATCAATTTGGATTCCATGGACCATGATATTGAACCGGAAAAACAATATCGATCCATAAGGAGTTTAGCATTTTTTGGGCTCTTTTCAGTTAAAGAACAAGAAGGTATTCATGAGGTGTCTCTTTATCCCCGTTTTCAGCTTTTAATACCTTCAATGGCCAATGTAACCAACTTTCATTCATCATATCATATGAATATGATGGGTGATACCAGCAAAAATTTTATCGGCAAAAATGTATTTTGCATTTTACAAATAGAAAATACGTTTGGAAAAGTATTTTAAATAAAATACAAAATGCTTTTCTCAAAAAAGTTTTCAAATGTGAGATAAAAATATTTTTTATTTTGCATTTGCATTTTAAATGCGAGTATTTCAAGTAAATCACATCTCTGGAGCTTCCGCACTCTTTTTTATCTTACGCAGAATGCTGACATGTCATTTTCAATTTACATATATGTATCTATGACCTACGTAAGCATTATTTCGAAATCTGAATTATTAATCATACAAAACAAAGAAAATTGCCTGATATTTTATACGACGATATTGTTCTAGAATAAGTGTAGTCTAAGTAAGTAAGTCAATGAAGAAGTGTAACAATTACTTGCTAAAAACAGTTTCAAAGTGTGTATTCATTAAAATGCGATTACTGCGTGTGTGAAAAACGCTTTTTTTGTGAATTAAATTTTTGCAATATGATATGAATATACCTGCAAGATCGTTTTATTGAAAGGTTTATTTTTAGTTTTATGAAGTTTACATTTGTTTGAACGATTAATAAGTCTTTTAAACAGTGCAAAACAAGTCATGCGGAGGTTAAAATAGACAAGGTCAACAGAAAATAATTTTCTGTTTGTGTACATTTGATGAAAATAATTTCGATTTAAGTTAGTTTTAATATTTAATGCTAAATATAATACTTAGATGCAATTGAAACTTGCATATCGTCTATTAACGTGTCCGAAAAAAATATTAACTTATTTAAACTATTACATTAAATGACTATAAACAAGGCAAGTGTATGTTCATGTAATTTTAAAATGTTTCGCTATCGTATACATATATAATAACATCATTTGCTTTTATATAGATACCGAAAAAGTTGTGAACAGGGGCCGTTTTGGCCATTGCGAGACTCCAGGCGAGAGATCGTTAAAGGCCGTTATCTTTGTGGAATTAGTTTTAATAATAATTCTTATCAAGAAATGCAGTTATTAATAAATAAATTTTGAAATTGCTTATCGAAAATTAACAAAAATTAATAAACAAAAAGATAACAAAATATTAATCATGATAAACTAAGATGCATTGATGTCTTATTATTAGTACCTAATATTCTTCTACATTTAGCGCGTGTGCGAGGCCCCGGGCGGTTGTGAATCTCGTCACCCCCAAAGACCGCCCTAGTTTTGGGTACTATTTGAAACAATTGAGTACAATCCTGTTACGGTTAATTTAATAAGGTAAATATTTATTCATGTTCAGACGATTTTTGTACCTATTCACTAAATTTAATTGTCATTAAATATCTAAATACATAAAAATGGCGAAAGGAATGAGATAAGAAGCCATATCTTCAAAGAATTCATTTGTTCCTTTATTTAGTTAATTTTGTTTTAGTTTTTGTTTCGCAAACAACTCAAAAATATGCCTAACATTCTAACAATCCCCCACTTCCATTGTAATTATTATATAATATTTACAGTTACAAAGGTTAATAGCGTTAGTAATTAATAAGCACTTTATATAACTGCTACAAAGCACTATTGGTATTTGTTTATGAAAAAGTACCGAAATTTTTCTAAAATTAACGATAAAATTATTAGCATTAAATATTAATATTTACTTTTGTAGCATATACGATATTATAGGTAGGTAGACATTCCAAAATACAATATAATACTCGAATAGTTTTAATTGAAAGTACTTATCGAAATCTATTTCTCATTTTTATTTTAAATTTTGGAAATAGCAGAGAAGAATGTTAAACGAAAACGAGTTTGTGATTCTAAAATCTTCACGAATAAAGTAGAGGATAGCGCAGGATCGAGTCGCCTTCAATAAAAAGAAGTCACTTCTATGTTTGCGAACGATTAATTTAGAAATTCTGAAAAGATTGTTAAAAGTGTATATCCGGGGCGCGGCGTTGTACCGGTGCGAAACATGGGCTCTATGGAAGTTAATAAAAAATAGTCGAGATAGGTTGTTAGGATACTTTCTCAGATATGAAGGTCTAGTCAGAGACATATTAGAGGCAGAAGCAGGAGTTAAGAGTAGTAGAGGTAGATCTAGATTAGATTACTGTTCGCAAATAGATAAGGATGTGGGATGCTCTAGTTTTAGGGAAATAAGAAGATTAGCTCAGGATAGGAAGGAGTGGAGGTACGTGTCCAACCAGTCTTAGGACCGACGACCTTATGATTTTAATGTTATGAAGAATCGAAGGACTTAAAGATGGAAAGCAATTGTTAACAGATGATGAAATAGAACCAAATATGTACGTATATCTATGTCACAAAGCCTTTCCGCCTTCCGTGTAACTAAATCTAAAGGATATGTATAGACATAATTAAAACTTTACGATTTAGCGCAACCTTATGTTAGTGGCAATGTTAGCAAAATTGATTGTTTCAAGGTAGGTAATAAAATTTAAATAGGTACGTATAAATCGCGACGATGTTACGAAATTTCTTACGACCATGCAATTTTATAAATTCCTACAGTTAATTGCAAAAATAATGCAATAGATAAAAGCAAAGGGTAGTTCATAATGTTAATAGAAATAATCCGGGAAACATTTTAAAATCTTTTGGTTGCTGCAGTTGTAACAATTTGATAATCAGTAATTGATATTTACCAAACAGCAACCACCTATATTATAAATAGTGGCCACTACAACATTAAAATAATCGACCACCTTTGAAAAAAAAAAAAAACTGACGCACCATACACGGAAAACTAAATGCAAATATTACAATTTTCCATTGTAAATGACTGAATTTGATGTAGAAATAATAGAATTTATTAGATAACGTGTAATAATCTCAATTTTGACATTATTAAATTATTTTAAGTTTCTTAATTATTACAATTAAATTTGTAATATCAACTAAAATACCTAATAAATTTATTTTTGCTGGGGTTTTATTTTTACAAGTTTGGGTCCAAATTGTAATTTCTATTATTTTCAATTATGAAGCAACGGGCTAGTGGGATAAATTGTAAATATCGCTTTAATATTTAGGTAAATTTTCGTTTTTCATTTTCTCGTCGTAGAAATTTCTAGAACATCCGAGAGCATTCAAAAGCATTTGGTAGGGTATGTTAAGCAAGATCCTTCGTGGGTTCCAACGTTCGGGAACATCCCGAAACATTCTGGAATGTTGTGGAATGTTCTAGAACATTGTGGACTATTCGAAGCCTTTTTTGTACCTATGTACCTCCTACATTTTACAGTCTATCCATTTATTCCAACTATCACACAATCTTATATCAACTCCCTGAAAGAAGCCCGGGTACCCTGGCTAGTAATAGATTCATGTTTTTTAGTGAGAAATATTGAAATTATATCAAAATGTACATAATATATCTAAATGGTTTACGACCATTTATAAAGAAAATAATTTAAT